TGTCAACGGGTGAAACCCTCTCCAAATGCGGCTGCGCCGCTGGCCAGCTTACCGGTACATACTGGGTGCTGGTAGTACATGAGTTTGGACTATGTTTTCTGGCCTGCTGAAAGATCCGGCGGGCACCACGGGGATCGTGGTATTCGTCGACCGGTTGAGCAAGGAGGCTCATTTGGCGGCGGTGCCAGACACCATCGACGGGGTCGGTACAGCGACGATGTTCGTGGATCGTGAATTTCGACAACACGGACTCCCAGAGTCGATTGTCTCTGATATAGACCCCGTTTCACGGGAAAATTTTGGTCGGCTATCTTCAAGGTGCGAGGCACCAAGTATGTAGACAGCGGATCATCCGCAGACCGATGGCCAAACCGAAAGGGTCAATCGCGTTATCGAGGACGTTCTTCGCAGCGTCTGCGCTGAGTCGTCGAGGCGCTGGAGCGACATGTTGCCACTCGTAGAGTTTGCGCTGAGTAATGCAGTGCATTCGTCTAACGGCTACACGCCGCTCTACTTGAACGGGCTGGTTCACCTTCGCGCCACACTGACGCCGCCATCCGATGGTTCAGGGCTTCGTAGGGAAAGAATAGCCGAGAAGCCAGATGATGCCAGCCCCCTTACCATCCGTGAAAAAGTCGATGACTTCTTGTCTACCAGACTGAGTGTCCTGCGACACGTTCGCGATGCGATGGCTGAAAGCCAAGGCCTGCGAAAAGAAAATGCAGATGAAAAAGGAAGAGGCAAAGTGGAAAGTTTTAAGGTCGAGGACCTGGTTTTATTGAATCCTAAAAATCTGCCTACACATGCAGCCTCTGCTATCCTCAGGACGAAGCTTCGTCCACAGTTCATTGCACCGTTTAAGTTTGTGACCAAGCGGGGCGTAGCGTATAAGCTGAATCTTCCAAAACGGATGCGCACCCACCCGGTGTTTTACGTGGGCTTGCTCAAGCCGTACCGGGATCTGGCGCAAGTGAACGCGAAGGCGTTAGCGCCGGAGCGGATCCGACGGGCCCTCGGCCACCCAGAAACTGTACCAGCAACTGGTTTTGAGCTCGGAGCGCAAAACCTGCATTTACAATGGCGCCAAGCGCACCACCGTCGCATGCAGCGACGCATTCGCCTGTTCCACGGCTAGGAGTCGCACCGACAGAGCGCGGTAGTTCTCAATGTGAGGCAGCCGACGTACGACGTGCTTTAAATCGTCAAGAGCGTCCGCACAGCGATATGCTACTTCAGCATGACAATCAGCAGAGCTTCGATCATGAAGGACTTTGTCCTCAAGGGATCGAAGAGCATCTCGAGTCACCGGACGGCGGTCGACCCGGTCGTCACCGCCCGCCACCGACTCTTCTCGATGAGAACGGTGACGTCCGCTATCACGTGGAACCTATAGTGAGACGACGTCGTCATCAGGGTCAAACCCAATATCTGGTGAAGCGGCGGGGATATCCCGACTCCGAAAAGTCGTGGAGGTTTAAGGCGCCACTTCGGCAAGATTGCCCAGTCGCCGTGGACGCTTTGATCGGAAATATCAGGACGCTCCGCGTTATCAGACGCCCCACGCTTCCCAGCAATAGCCAGGAAAGTTGAAGGGCCATGATCTGAGCTCAAGTAGTGGCCCTGAGCTCTTGCGATCGCAGACACAGAGCTCGCGGGAGCGTTAGCGGTTGACCCATAAGTCGCAGGGCGACAATCCGAAGGAAGTCGACGGCGTGCCTTGAGTTTGGCCAACCCAAATCGGAGGTGTCGCTCTACACGCACGTTCACTTCCTTGTGGCTCAACTGTAGGTTATAGTGAGGGGAGTTTCCGGTGCCGTTGCACCCATCGCTCAAAGAGCGCTCCGTCATCTGTAGCGCTTTCGCCAGGGGCGAGCGCTAAAGGTATCGTCCGCATTGCAGGTACACGAGAACCACCTTGTCGGGCACGTAGACGCGTGCGATAAATATCCAACGGAAATTCTTGTGGGACCAAGAAACGAGCTCGAAGAGTTCCCCATGTGGCAAGTCTATTCTGGCCTGGAATTCGATGATGTGGACGCGTATCGATCAAGTTACCGCGTCCTTCACTTCCACAGCGGGATCCGCTGGACGGAAGCCATATTCTACACGAGGGTCAATGACTGGCCGTGGATAGGCGCGCTTTAGAACCGCGTTGTCGGCAGGTTCATGCTA